AACTCAATCCTTCCTGTGTTATTTCTTCCACTGCTTTGTTTAAAAACAGAATCCCATCCTGACATGGGATAAGCAAGAATTCACATTTGTTATCACTTTCATGGCTTGATTTCTTTAAACATTTAACTCTTTAATAGGCCTGGAAGGTATTGCAGTGTAAGATATAGGAAGGGAGTCTATTTTTCCTCTGGAACTAGATAGTCCTTGGTAGTTTGAATCTAAGACATCTTTTTCTAATTTCTTACCAGGATCCCTATGGCCTTTGGATTCCATTACAAATTCAGTATTCTTCATTCCAAGGTGATCTAAGTTTAAGAACATCAATCCTGTTGAGAGGATTTTTAGATTACCTTAACCAGAGACAGAGGCTAGCTTTGCAAGGCGATGGCAAGGTGAGGGTGGGAACATGATGTTCCCTTTTCTCTGCCACCCTACTTCACCGTATTTCATCCTCTGGGAACGTGGTGGGCAAGTGGTAGCACAGAGACTTCTCTGCAAAGAGAAGTGCTGGAGGGAGAGCAGCCCTGTGTCCCAGAGGCTCTTCCCAGCCTGGGTCTGGTGGCATAGTGGGAGAAGCCTGGCCAGATAGCAGAGGAAGTGTCACCAGAGGGAGCAGCTCTGGTCCAGTGTGTGGCAAGGCCCACAGGTCCATAGTAGCTGCCCCATAGTCCCTGTAATGTGGGACTCAGAGGCTCCTTACTGAGTTTAGCTTGATTGGTGCCAGCAGGGTGCTCAGAGTCAGAGAGACTCCCTGTCCAATGATTTGGATGGGAGAACCCCCGCCTCGCCTTGCACCACAACTCCATCCTTGGCCTCCCTGCCGAGCCTGCTGCATTTGCGCTCCATAGCTCCTTCTCTGGCTTTGCTATCTGGCATCTTCTGTGTCTTGCATGAATGGGTAGGTTTCACTTTACCTCTTCTAAACTCCCCTGAAACTCTTGGAGGTTCCCACCCTCTGTGGCCTTCAGACCCCGCAACTGAAAGCTGGGGAGGTAGAGCGGCTCTGCCACATCTCTTGTCCTGCTCCCTGTGTCCCTCTGGTTGGAGCAGAGACCCACCAGAAGCCTCCAGGCTTCTGGTCAAGGGAGTCTGCAGTGGACAGCGCTCTCAGGAGGCCATGAAGTGTTCTGCCACCGCTACAGCCCTGTCCATCAAGATCGGTTATCAAGATGCTATGTTTTCATAAAAAAGTGAATCAAAACTGTAAAAGTCACACCAAAGGCATCAGAGAGGCATGGACTTCTCTGGTTTTAATCATCCCAGCCCATCACACACCCAGGGCTGACGATGTCTTCATGGTTCCCTGGTGAACCTCCCTTGCCCTCACACTGCACAGCCCCCTGCAGCCTGCACCCTGGCGGATGTTCTGTGGCCATCCGCTGCTGTGCAGCACTTCTCTTACACTTGTCTTCCCTCCATCTGCTCCTGTGCTTCCTAGCTGAGCACAGTGGGATCCTTCCTCTCCCCTCTGGCCCAGGACAGCAGTGCCCTCCCAGGTCCCCATCAAGGTCCTCTTCTGGTTCTGTACATCCCAGCTTGGCCCTTGTGTACCCTCGGTTCCCAGTGTAGGGTGCGGGCTTCACACTTGCCTTTCCAGCAAAGCCACAGACCTGTGGCTGAGGGGTCCTCTCTCCTTCCCCAACAGCTTCCCTGGCCAGAGGCCAGGATGAGGCAATTCCTCTTTATTCCCAGAATTTCTGGGTCCCTGGACTCAGTTCCCCTCCCCTACGCCACATGGCCCCTGCTCGCCACGTGCCTGCCCACTGGCCTTGCCTTCCACAGCGCCTCAGCTCCACACCCCACTCAGGCACCATGTGGACAGTGTCCTCTCTGCAGCTCCTGAGTGGAGTTGTCTGTGAGGTGTCGCTCCTCCCTGAGAGGCCCTCCACTTCCCTGGCCTGTCCCCGCTCCTCCAGCACCACAGGCTCCCTTCAGTGTGTCAGTTCCTAACTCCCCTCACTTCCCAAAGGAACATCTGAGTGCCAAATGCCAGCACAGAGCAGTCTGAGAACTGGTAATGGAGCATGAATGGGCAGGGAGGAGGCAGGATGAAGAAGGAATTTGAGGCCAGGTGGCAAGAATCAGGCATCACCACTAAGCTGTCTAATTTACAAAGGGCCAGGAAGACCCCACCTGCACTCTGCTCTCCACTTCCCTCCCAGATTCACCAGCCCATGGCTCATATTCCACTTGTCTACAGAGAAAAGAAAAACAAACTTCACATCACTCCAGTATGAACTCACGGTGATGAAGAGGAAGGGGCGAGGCTGGTCCTTGAGCTCAACCTCTGAACATGCTCACAGGCTACCAGATGCAGAAAAAGTGTCTGAACTCAGCAGCATCAGTCAGGATGTAAGACTGGGTTAAAACGCTCATCCTGAACGCAGTGCTTCAGATTCAGATTACTTGTGTAACGGTCTCCATTCCTGGCTCCAGCTCCTGAAACCCTTTCCTCCCAGATTGCCCACGTCCCTTCCTCCTTCTGAGCATTGCTGCTTCTGTGCTATCTCCAGCAGTGACAGTGCCTGACCCCAGCAAGGTGCACATTATGTCTGCACCCAGCACAGGGTAGCAGGAGTGTCTGTGCACTCCCAGTCACCAGACACTGTCTAACTGGAAGCAACTGTGTTTTCTACAGTGAGCCTGTTTCCACTTCTGGGAAACAGTGGACAGAACTGCTACTCTCCACAGTCTCCAGGAATGACATTCTGACTCCATCAGTTTGAGCAGACAGGACCTGCTCTGTGTGCCCTGGGCCCCCTCACCCTCTGCCTCAGGTTGGGTCTCAGGAGTTGATGCTGTGAGGGACATCAGGAGTCAGGTGCTGAGCTCTGAGGGCTCTGACACTGCAGTGCCTCCTGGTGCCCACTCATTGGACTCCTAGCTCTCTGGCATGTCACAGACTGTGACAGTGATGGGCTGGCACAAGAGTAAATAGAGTAGTGGGTGGGAGAGGAGGAGAGAAGCCTGTGGAATCCTAATGTACAGTGATGGGGTCACCATACAGGACAGCTCTTGCAGCAGGGCCAGCCTTGTGGTCAGTGTTTCACATGTGTTATATGTGACCTTGTTTGTCTTTTGCCTAACCCCATGGGGTAGGCGCCATATATCCTGTTTCATGAGGAAACAGAGAGCAGCCCACAATGACCATGACAGAGCCAGGATGGAAATCAGACAGTCAACTCAATGGTCACTGCTGACTACCACAGCACCCGCAGACCAGGGCAGGTAAGGCAGGTAACTGTCATGGCATTAAAGACAAGGGTGGACAACATTGAGCTTGAAATGTAGAACTAAACGTTGGGAGAGCAAAATGTAGGGGACTCTCCTTGGGACTCAAGGACAAGGAAGGACTTCTCTGTGTTTTAACTTGTGGTAAAACATACATAAAATGTGTATCATTTTAACCACTTGTAGGTGATTCACAGCCCTGTGCTACCATCCCTTTTCATCATTCCAAATAGAAACTCTGAACCAGTCAGACAGTGACTCCCTGTTCCCTTTTCTCCAGCTCCAGTAACCACCATTCCGCCTCTTTTTCTGAATCTGCCCATTCTAAGTTCCTCTAACAAGTAGAATCAGACAACAGTTGTCTTTTTGTGTCTGGCTTATTTCACTTAGCATAATGTCTCCAAGATTGATCTATGTTTTGTATAGTCACAGTTTTCCCATTTAAGACTGAATAATATTCCTTTGTGTGACTACATTGTATGTGTGTGTGATGTTTTGTTCATTCATTCATCTGTTTATGGACACTGGGTAACTTTCACCTTTGGCTTTCGTGAATAGTGCTTTGGTGAACATGGGTGTACAAATATCTGCTGGAGTTGCTAGGGACCTAGGAGCAGAATTGCTGGGCCACATGGTTATGCTATGTTAGCTTTTGAGAAACCACCAAACTATTTTCCACAGTGACTGCTCCATTTCACCTTCACTACAGTGCACAAGAGTTCCAGTTTCCCTTCATCCTCAACACTGGTTATATTCCATTTTATTACTGTTATTTTGTTGTTATTGCATAATCCTTGGGTAAGAATTTCTTAAATAAAACTTTAGGAGCATATATCACAAATCCAAAATTAGAATGAATATAAATACCTGGTCCAGTCCTATGATACTTACTGTATTTGTCAAATAGGGCTGTCTGCAGAATTTTCCACCTCACTCACATGGGTCTTGTGAGGTCACTTGGATTCTGCCCTGAGTATATCTATTAACTTACAGAGTTTCAGAGCTGTTCTTATTCTCAAATAGTTATCTTTCTCTGTTTGTTGATTCGTTTTTGCCTCAAGATGAATTACATCTGTATTCCCAAGTAGCTAAACTTGAGACAGAATGAGCATCAAAAGGAATAATGTAATTGGTTAAAACACACAATTGAAAATCTGTATGCCTGCGGTCCTTAGTTACCCTCATGCAGAGAGAAGAAATTATCCTCTTGGTTTACACTTCCATAAAAATGAAAACTTTGCTGTCTTGTAACCCCAAATGTTCAGGGAAGGACCATATGTCCTTTACTTCTTCTAGAAGTAAAACAAATCAACTTAGCAATCAATATAATGTGTGACACTTGACTAGACCCTAGGTTGCTAAAAATCAGAGCTGTAAATGACATGGGGAGGGGATGTTAGACATGGACTGGCTGCTGGTGATGTCATGGGATGACTGCTGTCTGGATAAGACACTAGAATAGTCACACGAGTTGCTGTCCTTATTGAAGGAGACGTATGCAGATGCTCTAGGGGTAAAATGTCATGATGTCTACAATTTATTTTCAATGTTTTTGGTGAAAGAGAGAGACAGACAAACAGAAATACACACACACAGAAGAAGCAAATGTGTGAAAATGTAATTTGATCATTATACCACTGCAACTTCTGCGTACGTTTAAAAAATTGTAGTAAAGTGCTGGGGACCATTAGTCCGTCTGCTATTTCATAGTCACAGTCCGCAGAGCTCTTAATCCCCATCTCTTGAAAGACTTTTGTTTCTGTCTGCAGTTCGGGACCGAGTCAGATCCAAGATGGAGAGAGACATCCTGGCAGAAGTGAATCACCCTTTCATCGTCAGGCTGCACTACGGTCAGTGGGCTAACAGCGTCATGATTTGATTGAATTTAGGACAACCTTTCACAGATTGAGGAAAAGGGAAACATTGAAAATCCTCCCTGTGCCAGAGAGTCCCAAACTGTATGGGGCAAGATATTCCAAACCCCGATCCTTCATCTCCTTCCTGTGTTTTCCCCACAGAGTAGGATGCCCGGTTTTCATTCCCAATGACTAACAAGATGGGGATATCCATTATCACTAAATTAGCACCATTGATAATCTGGTTCAATCTCCTGACCTAGCTTAGGGTGAACCCATGACATAGTTCTGCACTGTTACAAAAAAAAGTGCTTTGTGTCCCAATAATTTAAGGGTGATGTTAACATCACCCTTTTAAGTAAATGCTATTTCAAGCATTTTAAAGATGGTGTCTCAGCATACCCTCCAAATCACCATTCAGGGTGGGTTATTGTCTATCCATTTTTTGAGGGTCAGAGCAAGTGATCACTGAAGGCCACACAATGTCTCTTCATTTGCTCTCTGCCTCTATCTCATCAGAGAAGCAGTAGGTAAAATCCTTGATTCAAAATTTTGAACATGGTGTTGACATGGATGGCAAACCACACTAAAGTTCACTTCTTGAGTAATTAATGTGAGTAGAGCTCCTCCCTCACTGTCAGTTTAGGGCTCAGGGGTTGTGACATTCGCACAATCTGAAGCGAAGACTTGCACGTGCCAGGGTGCAGTGAAGGAGACTTTCTCACACTTCACTGGCTAATTTTCTGAAGAAATTAAGAAGTGGGCACCTTTTAAGCAGACCATCTGCAATACCTCTGTGGTCACAGATCACCGGTACCCATCAAGCTGGGGCATGGACACGCATCCAACACTTCAGATCACACGTCCTAACCAAGGGTTTCCAGTTCCCTAGCCTTTATAGTAGTTCTCGCATTTACTTTTAGGAAATTTAAAGTTTTTAAGTACGCAGAGTTGTTAAGACCCCTTCCAACTGTGTTTCCTATGTATAAAAAGCGCATACTAAGTGAGAGACCCTCACAAACCTTGGCCTGGCCATCACAGCTGACAGACTTTTAATAACATTGACTTTGGCCATCATGGTTAATGACCCTCAATAGCACTGACCTGGCCATGATGGCCAAGTTACCCTCACTGGCCTTGGCTTCACCATCCTGGCTGACAGACCCTCACTGGCCTTGGCCTGGCTATCACAGCCTACAGACCCTTGCTGACCTGGCCTGGCCATCATGGCTGATGGCTAACAGACCCTCACTAGTCTGACCATCAAAGCAATAGAGACTGGTTTCCCCTGGTACTTGTGTGCTCACTTTGTCCCTGTGCTGAGGCATGTTCTTGGTAAGCAGTGACAAGAGCTGTGTAGACTGTTGCCCAAAGCATTAACAGTAAATCCTAAATTGTCACACAGAGTGACTACACCGAGAGCATGAGTCCCATTGTTGTGACATACAAATAGCCAGGCTGACCAGTCACCATATTGCTATATAGGAAGAGGGCATACATGGTCAGTGTGTCCCCTCGGCTATAGGAATACAGCTCCACAGGAAGAAATGGAGGCCTGGTTCCCACTTCATCAGCACTTTCCTCCTTACTCACCAGATACCCTGCAGCAAGAATTAGCCAGAAAAAACCTGACAGTAACCAAAGTGGCGCTAATGAAAGAAGTCTGAGTATACAGCTCCTGTTTCTGTGACTCTTTCAGTCCCTTTGTGATTAAGAGGGAAGGAAAGAAGGGGAGGGAAGAAAGAAAAGAAGGAAGGAAAGAGGAAGAAAACATCTCAGGACTCTTAACAAACGTGAGACACAGAACTTAGTGTTCATCTCCTTTCCCTGGGCCCTGCCCCTGGCCAGCTGGGCTCTGGGGAGGCTTCCATGTTTTTCTGAAAGGACAGTTTTGCAGACTAGCAATCTTGTTTGAGCCAAAAAGAGATTGAGCTTGGGGAACCACAAAGAGACTGCATCAGAGAGAACAATGTGCTCTGCTCAGTGCTCAAAAATGTCTCCTTCCACAGCCTTCCAGACCGAAGGGAAACTCTACCTGATCCTGGACTTCCTGCGGGGAGGCGACCTCTTTACCAGGCTGTCCAAAGAGGTGACCTTGCCCCTGGTGAACAGTAAATCTCTGAAAGAGTGATGGGATAATGCTGACCAGAGGGGTGTGTGTGGTGTGTGTGATGGGTGGTGTGTGGTGTATGTGATGTTTGGTGTGTGTGTATACTGTGTGTGCTATGTGGTGTGTGATGTGTATAGTGTGTATGATATGTGGTGTGTGATTTGTTTTGTGTAGTTTATGATGTATGGTGTGTGTGATGCATGTTGTGTATCTGTGTTAGTCTTTAAGAACTCCCACAATTGTAGGACAAGCAGTCCGGCCTCCTTGGAAGATCTTCAGCACGGGACTTGTCCAGTGTATCCCATGGAGCTCCCCAATCCCTTCACTACTCACTGCCCAGATAGAGCAGGTGAAGCCAGTGGTCAGCTTATGTAAGGTTGGGAAACGCTGGGTTTCATGACCTTTTGCTTTCCATCCTAGAAAGGTATAACTAGCACATGTGGACCAGGCCTCTGGGAATCCTCACCTAAAGTTTGTATTTAGGAGCACCTGTCAGGTCTGTGCACCTGCATTGTCTCCTTCACAACCCCAGTTAACTTTGACCTCTGGCACCTCAAGTAGGAACTTTCCAGTCTTACTTAGAGGACCAGGAAGGTGCTGTGGCCCTCTCGATGTGAGGAGCACACAGCTCGGTGGGATGAAGAAAGCCAGAATTCTACCCGTGACAATGCTGCACTGGGCTTCCATTGGAATGTTTCTGCGTGATAAAGTTTATTATTGTTGGGTTTGTTTTTTTGTTTTATTTTGTTGGATTTTTGAGACAGGGTCTCACCATGTAGTTTAGGCTTGCCTCAAATTCATGATCCTCCTGCCTCTACCTCCCAAGTGTTGGGATTACAGGCATATACCATCATGCCAGGCAATGATACAGTTTTATACAAAGGAAGCAACATGCTAATGCAATGCACACAACAGATGTCTGATACTTTAAGTGTTGTCTTCCCCAGCATGGTGGTCTTTATTTCCATATTAGCGGTGGGTTTCAAACTGCACTCTCTGTTTTCTTCTGCCTTACCAGTTTTTCATCGGCGCTTCCTGTCTTACATAAAACAAACAATAAATTAAGGTGGAACAGCTCACCAAAGAAGGAGTGAGGGTTCCAGAGACCTTGGACCATTCTCCCTCCATTTTCTGGGGATCCCCAGGGTAGTGGCACAAAGTACACATAAGGCTCTTTGTGATGTGGGGAAAACACTGGGCTGGAGAAATCTGGCCCAGAATCTGGCCCAGGTTCTACACACAGCCCTGGGTGCAGGTAAGAAGCCACCTGCCTGTGTGTAGACATCTGACATCTACCAACTTTTTGCACAATAGCTCCCGGTTTGTTCTCTACCCTTCTTGCTACAGGAAACCATCCAGGGGCTGCTTTTGTCCAGCATCTAGTGTGAAGCCCTGTGCCTGGGCTTCTTAACCAAAAGGCAACAGTGGTTAGCGAACTGTACAGTTCTCACGCTGACTCCCAAACCTCTCCATTAGAAGAGCTGGCAAGTCATTGAGGAGAAGTCCAGGATGTCTACGTGTGCATTTTTTGGGATTGAGTCCTCATCCTCTGCAGGTTTGTTAAAGCAAGCAGCCTCAGAGCAAGCTGGACTGTGGCTCTCTCCCTCCTCCAGGTCATGTTCACGGAGGAGGACGTCAAGTTCTACTTGGCTGAGCTCGCGTTGGCTCTAGACCACCTTCATGGCCTGGGGATCATCTACAGAGACCTGAAGCCCGAAAAGTAAGTGAGAAGAAAGGTGCGCACCCGCGGGTGTTGAGTCCTGGCCCAGCTCTTGCACAGCATTTATTTACCAGATGCATTTCAGACAGTGGGCTGGGGACAGTCTCATGCCAGCATTTCCAAGCAGGGTGAGCAGATGCCCCCTTCCCACCTTGTGCTGGTGCCCAGTTGCACGTTGGACTCTTGCTGGTTTTTGTAGGAAGTGCCCAGGCCTATTCTTACCTGATCCTTGTAAGCACTGAGGGAGGCCAGGCCCAGGTTCACATCTCTGGTGTGCAGGTACAACTGGCCACGTCAGAGCAGGATCAGGTCTCTTTTCTGAATTCTCCACCCTTCTCCATTCTCTTCTCTACTGTCTTTCTCCATATTCAGGGAGCCACTTCAGCAAACCTGAGAAAGGAGTCCTTAGCCTCCCCTTGGTCAATGACCTGGCCTGTTTCTATGTGACCAATCAGATCAGCTTTCCCACAAATTCAGTTAAGAGACAGTGGCTTCAGAATGCCCAGGCCCAGCTCTCATTAAGAGGGTGTATCACTGTAGATATGGTCATTATGGTTTTAGTTCTAGAGTAGTTTACTAATCTACTAATCTAGGATACATAAAATCATTAGCATCCTCCAAAATAATTGCATTCCCATTGCAGGCTTTCTTCATCAGCATAGGTAGCTGATACATAGGCTTGGAGTGATCCTTGGTGATGTTTTAGATTCCACAGGCAATGTGTGCAGTGTCCCTATGGTGGGATCACTGACTGGCTCACTTACTATTCCCCCTTTGAAGCTGAGCAGTACCCCAGAAACACAAGCACACCTGCCCCAGGCAGGCGATCACACCACCAGGGAAGCCCCAGCCCTCACCCTAAGGCTGAGAGGCCAAGGATGGACTCCAGGCCCTGCTCCTCACCTCTCCTCCCACACGCATTGCCCTGAGAGAAAGACAAACGCCTCCCTGAGGCCAGCTTGTTAGATGAGGTTGTCATCTATGTGAAAAATCTGGTTTTCCAGAAGCCAGGCCACATGGTGTAGATCACATCGGCCTGTGTGCGCCATGGCTATGACTTAACTACCAGTTAAGTCACCGTTGCACCTGCAAATACATTTTCCAAAGGACCTTTCCTGGCAACTCCCAGGGAGAGAAGTAGCTTGTGAACTACACCTGTCCCCTTCAGATGGCCAAGCAAGAGGCCACACTGCTGTCCGTGGACAAGGCTGTGGACAGGCTTCTGTGAGCTGGACGCTCTGCACACTGTGCATCCACTAAGGCTGGGAGTGCTGGTTTGTGAAGGGTAAAGTGATCCTTGTGGCTAAAAATAGTAACATTTAATTGCAGGGTGAAGAAAGGGGTTTGTTGTTCAATTATAATTATTAGGGAATGAATCTCGAAAGTTGTTTAATTCAGGGCAAAGATTGAGTATAACCACAGGGCAAGGACAAAAACATTTGCCTCTTTAATTATGACTTGTCATCTTAATTAATATGCGTAACCTTTTCCCTCACATCGCCATAACTCAGTACATGCAGCAGATATTTGCTAATTGTGTTAATCTACAGATAACATGCAATTTACCGTTTTGCCTGTGGCCCAGTGCACAGGCTAGTGGTGTTGGTTTGTTCACAGCGTTGTGCAACCACCACCATCTCCAGAGGTCTTTTCATCTTGCAGAACTGAAATTCTGTCCCCATCAGACATTAACCTCCCTTCCCCAACCCCACTTTCCCAGCAGCTGGTAGCCCACATTCTGCTTTCTGTCTTTATGAATTTCACACTCCAGGGACTTCCTGTGAGTGGAAACCAGCATTTTCTCTTTCTGTGGCCTGTTCACTTCCCTCAGCTCCATCCCTGCTGGGGCGTGTGGGAGGCTTTCCCTCCTGTTAGACCCGATATATGTCCTATCCAAATGTTACTCATCAGAGTTTTGCCTTGTTTCCCTCCAGTCCACTTCCTTGTGTGTTTAGGGCTGGGTTGATGCCTCCCAAGACCTCATGGGACAGGATTTAATGACAGCCAAAAAGTAGATGGGGAAAATGGGAACCCAGGCTCACAGGGCATGACAGCCCCTGGCTCCAGCCTATGGTCTGAAGGAGCCTGTGGTCTCATCACAAAATAAGATCTGGGCTGTCCCCAGAGCTCCTCAATGCTGGGCCCAAGCTGTGCACAGGCCCCGCTAGAGGCTCAGGAGGTTCTGAGGGAGAAGAAGAGGGTTTCTAGGCATCTAGGGCCTTCAGCCACAGAACTTTTCCTCTTCAGATGCTTCCGGGTTCCAAAGGCCAGGACAATCCTGGGACCTGCTGTTCTGTAAGCAGAACAGGCTGGAGGGGTCCAACCTACCCTGGAAACTCAAGGTCTAAAACCTGCAGCCCTAAGCTCAAGAACAAGCCTGTCTGATCAGTCTCCTGAGCTGGCAGAGGAGTGAATATGGAGCAGCTGTCTGAACCACCTTCCCATACAGGAGGCAGCTACCAGCTCAGCTCTGCAGTGCTGGGTGAAGCCGCCCCAGCTGCCTGGAGTGTCAACCTGAGCTCTGCCAGCAAGGTTGAGCTGGTCTCCTGAAGCCTCAGTTTTCTTTCCCTTTCTTTCAGCATCCTCCTGGATGAAGAGGGACACATTAAGATCACAGGTTGGTAAAAAGCGACAGTCTCCCTCTGTGATGTCATCAGCCCTGGTAAATTTGGGGACATCACATAGCTACAACCCTTGTCACACACACATTTGCCAAATGCTCATCTCTGACCTGGCTGAATTTCTTGTGTCATGGACCGACTTTCTGCAAGTGTCCTCACAACATAGGAAACACTCAGACATCTCAGTCCCCTTCCCCTCCCCCAGCCCTGCCCTGCCCAAGACTCCTCCCAGGCCTTGCTGATCTTCACTGGATGTTTTTTTCAAGATCCCAATCAGCTACTAAGAAATAAAATTTCTTGAAATCATTATGAGGCCCTTGGGAGTTTATTAATTCACAAAAAAAAAATCTCCCACACTTTGTGGATTTTGACCTCGGGAGCTTGCTTGGCTCTTAAAGTACGCTCAGGGTTAGTGATGCTTTCTAAGTGGGGCTCTGAGGCTCCTGCTTGAGAGGGAGGGAGGGAGGGAGCATATGATGTCAAATCAGCTGAACTGATGTGAGTGGCCTTCTGCATAGACACGATCCTGACCTCAGCTGGGACACTGATGAAGTGCCATGTGCTGTGCTTACATTTAGATTTTGGCCTGAGCAAGGAGGCCATCGACCATGACAAGAGAGCCTATTCGTTTTGTGGAACAATAGAATACATGGCCCCTGAGGTGGTGAACCGACGAGGACACACGCAGAGCGCTGACTGGTGGTCCTTTGGCGTGCTCATGGTAATGGTTTGTCCTTCCCTGGGATGGTAGTTGTTCCCCAAGTGGACTTTCCCATCCCAGCTTGGTCCAGGGATCCTGGAACAGAAGGAGGGAAACAGGGCTTGAAATGCACACAACCCTATGCTGTGACTTGGCACAAAGAGACAATGAGTTTCTCAGTATTTCCTGGCAGCTTCCTCCTTCCCATCCCCAGTTCCCACCATCGGAAAATGGAACTGGGATCCAGGAAGAATGCAAATTAATTAAAGGCCAAATCTTTATACTTGTACACTCGGGCAGATTGAGTGAGGATCTTAAGGTAAGCGGGGATTCCCATATTTAAGATGCTTTCTTACTTGACAAGATCCTTTCCTTAGTGGTAAGAACTAGCTTGAACCAGAATGTCCATAGAGTGAAGCACTGTTACATCAGTATCCAGAAACACTGACTTCTCAGACAGAGCATGCAACCAGATGCAGTTGGGACTAGGTCTCGCAGGGTGATAAGTCATATGAGTTCTCCCCCCTTCCCCCCCAGCTAGGCAGCGTGCTCACAGCCCCTCATGCCCTCAGTGTGAGCCAGATCCGGCTCTGTAATCTGACATGGATGGTAGTCGGATAGCATTGTTTCAGGGTTGTCTAGTGCCCCTCCAGCCCATGCATTTAAATAAAGGAGGAAAATAAGGCCCCAGAGCTTTAGTTAAATGTGATGACGGTCACTCAGCATGCAGCATGGTCATGTGCATCCAACCCCACCCCCACAGACACACAGCCTTCTGTCTTTCCATCAGCCCCACAGGACCCCAGGACTGAGTCATACAGCCTGGCTGGTGCCAAGACCTCAGGAAGGCACTCACTGTAGTCACTGACTCTCTGGGTCCTGGACCTGGGCTGGCTTCAGGCTGTGGGTCCCTCCACATAGCGGGACATCCATCAAGCCTGCTGGGGAGAGGGTTCAAGTCACAGTAAATGTTAGCTAGCAGAGGGGTGTGATGTTTTGTTGTTTATCATGATTCGGGCCTAAAGTGGCAGTAGCTTAAATGCAGTTCACCCTCCTGAAGAACACCAGCCAGGTCTCATTTTCTCCAAGGCTTACCCCCAACCTTCTTCTGATTGAAAAAGTCTTTCTTTAGATGTGGCTATTTATTGTTGTTTGGTTTTGGTTTTTGACAGTACTGGGATTTGAACCTAGGGCCTCATGCTTACTTACAGGCACTCTACCATTTGAGCCACATCCCCAACCCTTTCTGCGCTAGTTATGTTTTCAGCAGGGTCTTGTGTTTATGCCTGGGCTGCCCTGGACCATAATTCTCCTATTTACCCTTCCTATATAGATGGGGTGACAAGCACCACCACACCCAGCTTTTATTGGTTGAGATGGGGTCTCACAAACTTTTTGTCCCAGGTGGCCTCTAACCAGATACTCTCACTCTCTGCCTCCCCTGCACCTAGGATTACAGGCTTGAACCACTGTCCCTGGCTTTCTTTAAGTATGTTAACGAGACAATTAGTTATCTTTGTTCTCTTCAAGGTGATTTTTCATAGATAACTCTGCTTGCAATCAGACATTTAGGCTTCCTTTGAGACCTTGGATAGCGGTGTCTGGTGGGGTTGGGGGTGACCTGCCTCCCTCCCTGCTGTGGACTTCACTGGGAAGTCTGTTGTCACTTTTGCTGGTCCCAGATTACAACTGCTGCCACAGGAGTGGCCCTGCCCTTGTACCCCCACCTTCCTGAGAACCCATATTCCCCTGGGGAGCAGGGCCAGCCAGACTGCAGGCCCAGGCTGCAGGAGAGGACTCCAGGCTTCCTTCTGTGTCTGGACCCTGCCCAGCATGCTTCTTTCTGTCCTTCCCTGGGTGACCGCAGGGGCTGACAGCAATTCATCAGGCTTGAGGATGGTCTGCACAGTCGTGCTGCAGCTAAACCTTTGTCTAATGATGGAGGCCCTGAGGCACCTGCCCTGGTCATGGCATTCATGATAGATAGCAGAGCAAGAGGCCAGCTGAGCTAGCTCCTGTCATCAAGTCCTCTCAGGTCATCTTGTTGTGTGACCCTGAGAGAGAACGCCACTTCTCACCATTCCTGACCCTGGGCAGTTCATGGCTCCATCTGTCTTCTTGACACTGTGTGGCTGCCGTACATCTCCACCTTCCACCGTGAACATTTGTGTCTGTGAACCTCCCTGTATCACAATGTCGTAAAAACTGTGTTACCCCCTCTAGGACTTCCTAGCACAGTAGCCTTGTGCCCCAGGTCAGATACCAGAGGGACGGCATGAATTCACATGTGCCTCACACCATGTGCCTCTGATCTTTGCCTGCTTCCTACCCCCAGAGTTTGAGAAGCTAGTGTTAGGAGTGAGTTCCTCCTTCCAAAAGCATCCAGGCCTCATGTCAGGTTGGCATCACACAACCACCAGGAGCCACTGTATGTTTTAATTGCAGAGGCCAAGAGCTCACTCATAAGTATAAAGCAAGTGTGGGCATCATAGACACAGCCAGTACTTGAGAGTTTATAAGTTGTCCTCACATTTGTTCTCAACCAAAACTCTAGATGGAGCAGAAAAGGAGGTGTTCTTCCTGGGCAAGAAAATGAAAGCCAAGGCTCGAAGAGCATGGCTATGGTTCTGAATGTTGTAATTGCTTTGTTGTCCACATCTGCAGTGAGTCCTTCCTGCCCTGTCATGGCATGCACAGTCGTGCTGCAGCTAAACCTTTGTCTAATGATGGAGGCCCTGAGGCACCTGCCCTGGTCATGGCATTCATGATAGACAGCAGAGCTATCATGTGATGACCAGCTTTGGCAGATTTCTTGACTACAGCGCTTCTCAGACCACATCAAACATTGCTTCCAAATTCTCTTCATTTGCAATGAAGAAATAGACCTAAGTGACACACCTCCAGTATTACATGTCACCTAAGCCCCATGAAGGGATCATTTAGAGCTTCTTGTGTTCGTAAGGTGCCTCCACTGGCTTTGCTAAGGAAAGCTGAGCCTATAGAGGCCTTATCTAGGGGAGCATGCCCTGCTCTGGGGCTTAGGAAGCCTGAGCTGGTCTGGACCCCAAGATGTCCCTGGGAGGCAGGTGCTGCTCTCATAACCCCTCAGACCAAGGACTGGTCCCACAGGTGACAGCAGAGCCTGGGGCCACAGCTGTGCCATCAGTGTTTGCTCTGGTTGCATAGGACAGTTTACATGGCTCTTGAGATGCCACAATCCAGAACATTCCATGCTAATGATTAAAAAACAGAGAAAGATCTAAGACACCCTCATGAAGCAGAGCTGCTGAAAGATCTGCAGAACACAGCCCCAGAGCCTTTCTAAAAGGTGACCCCAGGCAGATCGGGCCAGAAACTGACCCTGCTGTAGGAATGACCACCTTTTATCAAATTTCTTTTCTGGTTCCTAACTTCTAACAGAAGTCAGTTTTGCTCAAAGACAGTGGTTTTTCTCAGCATAGGCATTTGTCCTCTGAGCTCTCTGGAGGGCAACCATGGGTATCAGAGAAGAGATTCAAGTGTCTCCATCCTGGGACAGCCAGGTCAATCATCTTGTCTGTCTGCATACAGCCCCTCTCCCCACACACACTCAAATACCCGTGGTGGGAGACCCTGCCCACCCCACCACACAGTGCCACTTCTGCCACTTCCTCAAGCCACCAGTGGCACTGTAAGTTTGTCCTTGTCCATTTTCAGATTAAACGACTAAGTTACTTTTGATTTCCATTTAAGAATGTTGATCCACCAAATGAACCTGGATTCTAGGCTCTCTCTGACCGAGTATCTCCACTTTCAGAGAATCTCGTGTGGCTATCCCCAACACCAGGGAGCTTCTTGGGTGCGGCATGACCCTGGGCTGACCGTGGTCTTGGGGTTCATTTGATGTCCCTTGCCTTAGCCCTGTTGAGGTCTAGGATAGACACTCTCTGTGGTGGGGTGTCCTGTATATTGTAGGACGTCCCCAAGGCCCCTGGCCTCCCTAGACTAGATGTGGGTAACATGATTACTCACAGCCACAACCATCACAATGTCTCCAGACTTTGGGGAATGTCCCCTGGATGGCTGAGAACCACTGCTTGAGATTACTGATTATTTCTCGTCTTAGAAGTGTCATAGGTACTCAAGGGAAGCTAGGTCTGTGTCTGCCTGGCTGCTCCTTTGTGAATGAATCCATAGGAGTTTCCCCCATGCACATGAACTCCACTGTGGGACCTCAAGTTGAACTAGGGCTGCTGTCATTGTTCCAACACCAGAGCAAGAGTCTTACCACATGTAATGTCCCAGGGAAGCCCCTCAGTAACCCCTGAGGTCCCGAGACACCCAGACTGGAAACTTCCAGAACCACTTCATTCAGAACAGCAGGCCAGAAGCCAGCCCTTTCAGCGGGGACTCAAGGAACTAAAAAGGAAACCAAAGTACACGACACATAGTCCCCTCGTCATCACCTGCTTCTCATGTCTTCACCAGGGATAAGCACTTCCTGAGCACATGTGTGTCCCTATGCCAGGTGTTCTAGGAATGAACAGATGACTGGCTCATCTTTCCCACATGGACCTAAGAACCGTGTGGTGGGAGGAAGAGGGTGAAAGAGACAGGCAAAGAACATGGACCCTGGGTGTTAGCATCACAGTCAATAGCCAGAAAGAAATGGCTAAACCAACGTGTGTGTCACACTGGCCCGTCAGTAACTACCAGCTCGTGGACATCACAACAGGCACCATTTATGCGTGGAGAATTGAATGGCATGTGTGGAATAGTAGTTTTCTCATGCCGCACAGCCAGAGAGAGACTGTCTCTTTTTTTGGCAGGGGGTCTGAACTCAGGGCCTCACACTTGCTGGGCAGGAGCTCTCCCACTTGAGCTACTCCACCAGTCCTGTTTTGTGTTGGGTATTTTTGAGATAGGGTCTCAAAAACTGTTTGCCCTGGGCTGCCTTTGAACCACAATCCTCCTGATCTCTGCCTCCTAAGTAGCTAGGATTACAGGCGTAAGCCACCAGTGCCCAGCAGAAGACTCTTTCTTGAAGATGAGATTTCATGGGTGCTATTGACAGGCTCAAGGAAGCAAGGAAGAAGGGAGAAGGAAAGAACCAAAATAAGAAGAGTTCCCCTTGCTAATACGATCCTGTTTTAGGAGAGGTTGTAATTCATATAATCAGTTTATAAATGTTCATCTTACATTATCAGATGAATAGCTCATCTGCTTGTCAGCGCATCCAAGCCTTTCAATTTAATTACGCTTGACTATTTTTAAATCCTCATCTGGGCTCCCTCGCCTTGCTCCTTATTACTTATGTTTGTGTGTGGCCCACAGTCTGCGGCTCCATGTGCGTGGCACAGGATGAGCAGCAAGTCCAGTGTGATGGGCAGGCTTCAGACGGCTCAACCAGCAGGAACTTATTTTTTTTTTAATGTTGCTTATAAAAAGACCAGTAATATTAATAAAGTCCTAACTGTGTTTATATCCATAAGCTTGTTATTTCACTCCTAGTAGCTAGCCTGTTATACCTCCAAATTTTAGGAAAACTTGTAGGTAAACTTCAGGCTTATTTATAGTAACAGGACACTGGGAAGTCCTTGGTGTCCAGCAGTAGATAGGGTATTATGTGTAGGCATTCTTACATATAAGACGATATCACAAAGATTTTATAATACAGTGTGGAAACTTCCATGCTATCTTGTGAAAAGTTAACATATAAAGCCTTATATAAAATAAACATGAAAATAAAAGAAGTTGAAGAGCATACTTGAAACAGGTAAGTAGCAGTGGTGAATGTCTTTGAATAATGGGATTGAGGTGATTATTTTGGTCTCTCTATGTTGATGCGTTTCCAGGATGTTCACAATTCAAAGGAAAAGGCTGGAGGACACACTGTTAGGAGCAGAGATATGCGCTGTGGGAACACGCAGGCGGTGGATTAGATAAGATCATGTGCGCTCCTCACTGAGAGAGCTTCGTCATCACTTAAACCAGTGACGCAAAGGACACAGCTGGTGGCTTCCTTAGTGCATCCCCATTACACTGGGATCCTCATGTGTTCCTGCCCTAGTTTCTTGCACCAGGAGTGGTCAGATGTGCACATTCTGATTACGTGAGGTCCAGGCCACGGCCTCCAGAGCCCACGCAATCAACACTGTTTGTGCTCCAGGGGACAGGGAGTACCCACATTCAGCAAGGGCTGCTTTCATTCTCACCTTCCTGGCCAGTGTCCATTTACTACTTTTGGTGCGTGGCAGCCCATATCTGACAGATTGCTGGTGCCATGTTGTCTTTATCAGATGTTATTAATGGGCTGTAACCAGGGTCTATTTCATCTTGGAGGCATTGTGTCCTCCAAGACTGTCTTGGAACATGGAGTATTGAATATGAGGTCATGATATTCCTCCTCCCCATCTCCTCTTCTGCCTCTTCTACCCCTCCTCCTCCTACTACAGCTCCTGCACAGACAGCACTACGGGGAGTGCTAGGCCCTGAGCCATACCTAGTTTAATTATTCACTGTTTGTCCTTCCTGCAACTCACCCACTGGATGGGAGCACAAGGCTGATGTTCCCAGATGTACCTGCCTGTGGCCAGTGCTGCTCTGTGCTGATGGGGGCTGGGGCCGAATGAGTGAACTCACCTGTTCTGTGTTGCTTTGCAGTTTGAGATGCTTACGGGGTCCCTGCCATTCCAAGGGAAGGACAGGAAGGAGACGATGGCCCTCATCCTCAAGTGAGTGGGGGAACCATTCCAAAGCCCCTCAACCCCATCTGGTAGCAGGGCCTCAGCCTCCATATCTGGAGTTGTGGGGTGGGTGGTGTTTTGATCACAGCAGTACAGTGAATGTCACCTACGAACGGGATCACTGGCTGATGGGTCCTCAGAGTGATTCTGCCCCTCCGGCAAGCCCAGGGCAGACCCCAGCCTGCCACTCAGGAGTGACAGTCATGAATGATCAGACTACCTCTGTGCCCAGGGTCCCTGAGATGCTCTCGGTCTTGCAGGGTCCTCCTTTCCCAGAAGCTCCTCACAGTGTTGAGCAGCCTGATGCAGAGGCAGTAAGAGGGCAGTTGTCCCCAGGAGCCAAGAAGGGACTGGCCAAAACTTAACCATGCCACCCTTTGTGCTAAAGGCTTTTTTTTTTGTCTTGGTTTTGGAAAACAGTTGATTTCTGTTAAAAATGTCATTGATGCAAACAGGATTGTTCTTGCTGTCTGATGCTTTTATTATACTGTAAATGAGGAGTACTTGTAAAAATTGTGCACTTTCAATTTCCAATTTGGTGAGTGTCACGGCTACAGGCTACATGAATAAAAGCTCTTTGGTGGCCTAAAACATCTCTAAGTGTAAAAGGGTCCTGAGACCAAACTGTGGGCGCTGCTGCTCTGGGTGACTTGGAGTCTGTCAGTACAGAATGAGCAGGTCAGCTGAGGAATGAAGAAAGCCCACCTGCACTCACCCTACTTACCCGATTCCCTTTCAGAGCCAAGCTGGGGATGCCTCAGTTCCTCAGCGCTGAGGCTCAGAGTCTGCTGAGAGCACTTTTCAAACGGAACCCCTGCAACCGCCTGGGTAAGAAATGGGACGCCCTCCTGCAGGCTCAGGGAGGGCGCCTTCTGTGTCCTCCAGTGGGAACATGGATGGACACCACTCCTGCTGGGTCGGGAAGGGCCACCCACCCCTCTGTACCCACCATGGGGACATGGATGGACACACCCTCTTGCTGAGATGTGGCTAGGCAGCCCCTCTGTGCCTCCACCCGTGATACCCTCCTGTAGACAGAGGGTGAGCCACCCTTCTGTCCCTCTGTGGGCATGTTGAATGGACGCCCCCCTCCTGTGAGGACGTGGTCCTATCCCAACCCAACTCTGCCAGAGCTGGCACTTCTCTTTGCTGGGGTCACTGAGAACAAGAGGTCCCTAAGCCAGGCTGGGACATTTTCACACACTGAGCCCTGAGGTCACAGGATTCATTGCAATTTCTAAAACACAATCACAGTCAAACCAATGTGAGCTATTTTCTAAAAGTCACTGGTGTTGTAATAAATTGTGGCACTGTCTTCCCCTGGTTTTACTTCCCTTACTTCAGGGGTTCTGTAACATGAACTGGACCCTTAAAAGCCACATCTGCTCTGCTGCCTCTCAATCAGGAAAGTCAGCATCTGTGGGGTCCAGATTTCCTTGAACACCAGCTGAGCACTGCCTATTTCCTTTTTCTTAAAGCTGGTCATTTATTCAGGGCCTGCGAGGTCTCAGGAGCCATACTAGGTGAGCGGGTCCACTGACTGTCCACATGGTGTGAGCACAGGGTGCTTGCGGATTGTTTTATTACTCAAGTAAATGGAAGGAACAAATTAATTACTCTCTTAATGCCAATCTCAGAGATACAAGATACGAAATTAAGAGAGGAAGACAAAGTTAAGTCAGGAAATATTTCATTTTGTAAAAAAAAAAAAAATCATTGTATTTTCCTCTCAGCTTGGCTCAATCCCACTTAATTTCTGTCTCATGTCAGTTTTGATGTCAGGGCCTTTGGCAGTGATTTGTGACCCCTCATTTACTACAAATAGAGCTGCTATGTAAGTCCTGTCCAGCTCCCCTGGAATACCTGCAAAACATAGAGACAGTTTCTATGAATGGTTGCTAATATATTCCACTAAGTAACATTACCACTCTACCGCTAATCCAGGCTCTTCTTCATATGCAACTATTCCTTCCTACTGGTTTATTTTCAAAGTAGCCTTTACTTCCCACAGTTGCCTTTCTGTGCAATTCTCCTACATGTAACCAGATATTTAAAACTGCCCCTTAGGGCTGGCAGAGTGGCTCAAATGGTAGATCTCCTACCTAGCAAGCATGAGGCCCTGAGTTCAAAGCCCAGTACACCAAAACTGCCCCTTTACCAGCTTGCCAGTGACAAGTCTACTCTGGTCATGCTGGTTTCTTCACCAGATGCCAGGGGCATGCCTCTCCACTTACTTGTGACAATTGAATAACTCTAGGCCAGAATTCCCAGGTGAGAATGGCCACTCTGCAGACCAACCTGGAAGTGCCCAGAGTTTGCACCCAGTTGCTAAAGAGAGGAAATTCATTCTCTGTGGCGCTTGTGCCCAGGGTGAGGACAGCCATGTTGAGTGTGACCCTGAGAGGCAGCCAGGGAAGGGGGGGGTAATAGCCTCTTGTGTCCACTGCCTGAGTGGCTTCTTCACAAACCAGGTCACCAGGTCTCAGCACTTAGCTGAGCCTCAGGCTCCCCCTTGTAACAGCAATGCCAGTACTAATTGGTCAAGCTGACACCATCACTGTCCAGTTCAATTCCCATAGCAAAATGGCAAAGTCAGGAACAGGAGAAATTGGACTCACTTAGGAAAAAAGGCAAATCCATAAGAATGGCTTTTAACTGCAAAGAACAGGATTCCTAAATAATTTTACACTTTTTAATTCAGCTAATTTATTTTTCAAATTTCACCTTATTTTTTCTCATATTAACAAGCCATGTGGCAGTGGATGAGTTTTAGGCATTGGTTTGGCAGTTGGACTACTGTTGTCAAAAGCCCAGATCTTTCTTTTTACTTTACCGTCCTCAGTCATTTCCTTTTTATCTTCGTGCTTGGGCTCATTGTGTTCTCAAAATAACTTGAACAGCTTTAGGTGTCACATCCATATTGAAGGAAGAGGAAGACAAATGCATCTGTCCCTTTTATCAGGAAAGCAGATCTTTTCTGGACACCTTTAGGACTTCCCTGAGTGCTAAAGCTATCACTGAGTAGAAGGGCAGCAGAAAAACAAGTGTCCGTGGTTAGAGTGACAGGAAAAGAGGGCTGGGAATGGTGGTTTCATTAGCCAGCCACCAGGACCAGCCAGAGGTGTCCAGCAAGCTGGGAGCTCCATGAACACAGCTGTGTCTGGTTCATCTCTGACCCTGGTTTCTGGACCACACAGAGCACAGCCCTGTGAGCATTCGCTGAACCACCATGACTGGGAAGAAAGTTGTTCGTTGCCGCTCTGGAGCGCTCCTAGCTGTGAAGTGCTGCTGTGCCTGCTTGGAGCCCAGCCGGCTGTATTTTTTCAGTCCACATTTTCCTTATCAAGAGGCTCCTCTGGGGTGCCCAGGCCTCCAGACACCCTCAGCATCAGAAGCAGCTTCCCCAGTGAGAGAGAAGTATGGGGAGCTGGAGAGGCGTCCTCTCACCCATATAATTCGGGAATGTGTGTCCCTAACCCTGCACTTCAGAGGAGATGACATCCCTGCTTCTCTGATTTAGTAAGGACACTTTTCCCTTAATCTTAAAAGTTGAAACAGACCCTGCCCATCTAATTTTCTGTCAACATCACATTTTGGCTCCTGAGTTTAAAATCCAGTGTTTTTGCCCCTCTCAGATTCTGCAGCAGAAGTGGCCCATTCCTCCATCCATCCCCAGCATGTGAGAGCCTCCTGTGGCAGCACAGGGTCTGCATTGTTGGGTGGACATGGGAAAACAAGACCAGGGACAGCAGGGCTCCCATAGTCTAAGCCTCTGTCCCCACACACAGGTAGTGCAGGTCATCTGCATTCTGGGTCCTGGACCCCTCCTCCAAAGCAGCTGACTGGCCTTGGATGGTCTGCCCTTCTCCCAGGAGGATGAAGTCAGGTGGATGGTCCCTGAGACCCTTCCTAGCTTTGCTGATTAGGTGCTCTTGTGCACCTTCCCTACCCTGCTTGAGCATCTCTGGCCCTGGTCCCCAGTGTGGCACCTATGCATCCCACAAAACTGGCCCCTCAGATCGAGTCTGGCCCTGTGGTCTTGACTGTGAGCTGTTGGGTGCCTTGTTACATCCTGCCTTTGGGAATGCTGCTTTTCAGGCCATGGAGGAAAATCGAGGATTCCATGTCTGAACCCTCAAGACTGGCAGCCACCTTTATTTAGAATACCCTCTTTGGGACCATAGTAACTAATTTAAATGCTACCCCAAATTTGACCATGCTCTGGTACCTGCAGGATAGCCATGAGTCTACTTCTTGGCCTTGAGGGATTGCACTTACTGAAAGTGGACTTCATGGAAAGCTTTCCAGTTTGTAATCTTTTTTCTTCTCTAATGATTAACTCTGTGGAGCCAGCCTGAGATGTGCATCTACCACTCCTTCCTGTGTTCTTGTGGATACCTGAAACTTTATGACCAAGTCATAGCACACCACGGCTGCCATACAGCAAACCTACTGGCTATGCCATTTCTACTGGCCCTGGTATAAAAAAAGACAAAAAAGAAAATAATAAACTATCATAAGATGATCTACTTCCTCCAGATCTGAGAAGACAGGTGCCCTACCCACCCCCAGCACGGCGCTGCACACAGCACCCATGGGACAGGTCCTCCCCACCAATGTGGTGATGTTGGAAGGGAAGCATCTCTGGAAAATCCCAAGGCTCCAGATCAGATGGTGAGATCTGCCCTTTTAAGTAGCGGAGTGACTGTGGCGCTGGGACCCAAAGTAATTGATGCAGAATTTCCTGCTAGGACCTGAGTCAGCATGAGCGAAACAAGAAAGAGCTTGGACTTCCAGCATCTCTGTGCACTCCCTGACAACAAAGAGGTGGTGGGGAAGGGAGAGTCAGTCTAGGTTGACGGCCTCATCGGAGAAACTTGGGCAGAGCCTTGCTTTCTGAAGCAAATGTCCTCAGGATTGGCAGTTCACTGCGAGGGGCTTCGGCTCCATTCGAGTTCCAGGCCGATGCAGGGCGTCAGTATCCTATTCAGAGGCCCTACGTTACAGCCAAGCATTTGTGACGTATTTCTAAGTCTTGTAAGTCTAAGTTAGAAGTGGGAAGCCTTTCCAAGACCGGTCGCAGGGCTCTGCTTGTATTTCCAGCAGGAGCGCTTGAACTCGGCCTGTCAAACTTGGCAAACGGGCTATCTTTAACACACAAGTTGCTTCCATCGTACCTTTACTTTGACTTACGCTGGGGACATAGTTTTTAATCTCTCCCCTGCAGAGAATTCCAGGAAATCTCACTGTGATTCATTCAGTGAATTGTAGGAGAATCTCAATTTATTTGTTTTCATTGAATTCATGCAGAATTGTCATTCTGCAGAACATTTGGGTGAAAAAGGTGTTGAGGTTTAGGAAAACACAAGATGAAAGATAGTTTCATAAAATCCCAGTCTTACAGATATAAGATTCTATTTATCAGATCCAAAATACCCAGTATGAATTCAGGTTTTTAAGACTCTCTGTATCATGATGGCCACTGAGGGCACATGTCCTTACCTCCTGTGAATGTTTAGGGGAGAAGGGGATCGGTTTGTTTCATTGTTGTTTTTCAGAGCTGGAGATGAAACCCAGAACTTTTGCATTCTAAACAAGTGGTCTGCCACTGAGCTATACTCCCAGCCATGTACTTTTTAATCAGCCAACACCTGTCTAATTCTTTGTCCTATTTTATTCATATATGTATATATACACACATATATATTTATTCGTATATATACATATATATGGGATTTATTTATTTTTCCAGTACTAGGGTTTGAACTTAGGGCTTTGTGCTTCCTAGGCAGGTGCTGTACTACTTGAGCCATACCTCCAGCCCTTTT